GGTGGCATCTAGGTGGGTTTGGAAGATCTCCAAGGCAGAAGGCTTCACAACCTCTCCGGGCAGCATGTTCCAGGGCTCTGTCACCCTCACAGGAAAGAGCTTTTTCATCAAATTCAGGCAGATTTTCCTGTGCTTTGGCTTGTGGCCATTGCCACTGAAAACAGTCAATCTCCGTTCTCAACACCCTCCCTTAAGGTACTGATGTGCATTGGTCAGATTCCCTCTCAATCTTCTCTTCTCCGGACTAAGCAGGCCCAGCTCGCTTAGTCTTTCCTCATAACGACAAATGCTCCAGCCCCTTAATCATCTTCGTGGCTCTCCGCTGGACCCTCTCTAGAAGCTCCATGTCCCTCTTGTCCTGAGCAGCCCAGAACTGTCCCCAACACTCCAGGCGCAGCCTCACCAGAGCTGAGGAGAGGGCTGGATCCCTCAACCTGCTGGTAACACTCCTCCTAACACCTATTAGGAAACCAGGCATTCGGGACCTTCCCATTTGTCAAGGTTTAGTGTTAAAATTCTGTTGGTGTCTTTTCCCAAGGAAAAACAATTATTAACAGCAGCAGTGATGTCCTGTGTCCCAAGAATTGCTTTTGCACCTAGAAGCTGGCAGAAGAAAACTGAACAGGGCCCAGAACGCTTTGATAATATTCCTGGCACCATCTTAAATCAATGAGGAGCACTTTGAAGATGATGGCTCTTGTTGAGGCTGTCTATAGCCCACAGTTGTGATCAATCCCACACCCACATTCAATCCTGAAAATTCATCTTACTTAAACACTAGTCAGAAACAGTCTTTAATTTCCCAGCAGTGAGTCTCTTTTACCATAAAATCACTCCTTTTTTTTCTGGTTAGAACTGCGTTTCCCCATCAGAGAACCATAATTACTTGTAGATTTTCTCTTGGCTTTTCCCTTTGTACCTGAGGAGCCCACAGGCTCCTGGTTGGGGTGGATTTTGCCACTGCTTAATGTTGGCCCCCTTTGTGTCCACGAGCTGCATAATCCTGCAGAGCTGTATGGGCCCAGTTCTTAGCTGAGCTCGTTGCTCCAGGATCAAGGGGGTATCTGGAGCACCCAACTGCTTAGCCTCTTCTCTCACATCACCTCTGATCTGATCTGTTTGTGGGCGACCGCCAAGGAGCAGCTCACAGGGGCTGTGCCCAGTACCCAGCACGTTCTTGGCTTGCACAGCCCAGCACACAAATGCAAGTGCTGTGTCCAGCCGAGTTCTCTCCTCAGCAGTGAACTTCAGTCTTATCTTGATGGACCTCACAACTATTTCCACTGCCCAGGAGGACTGTGGATGGTAGGAAATGCGGGTTAATGGATGCACTCTCGTCCCTTTAAGGAATTTCTGCACTGCTGCCTCAGGGAAACACTTTTCTTTACCTGGAACAGTTAAGAATGGAGGGCCAAAGCTTCATTGTTTCATGTAGACACTGAATTGAAGTATCATCAGCAGCTCCACATACTGCCAGTTTCTCTGCCCATCTTGCTCTGCCGTGGCAACAAGTCTGGACCCATTACACCCCTTCCATCTTTGTAAGGGGCCCACACAATGAACCTGCCATAGCCCAAATGCTGCCCGCTCCAAGCTGTCCAAGCCTTCACACAGTGCATGCTTACACTTCTTTGCAAGGGCTTTCTGCTGTCCACGCATTCCACATACCTGGATTTTTGCAGAAATTACGGGAATAGGGATTTTAAATCCAATCTTATTAAGCCTTCATTGTTCCCCTCGAGCCTCTTTATGACCCCGCTGTGCTTCTGTACCGTACTAGGACTGGAAGACGGGCTCTCTGGTTGGAGACACCTCGTATTCTTCATCCAACAGCCCTGCTCCTGCCCTACTTTTAGTCCAGTACTATACGGACTTGGTGAGTCCTGTGATGTCTTCATTTCTTGAGGCAGCAACACAAAATTTTCTCTTGGACAGATCTACCTTGAACTGAGACAGGAAATTCTTTCCTAAAATGTTTGGCCCTCCTTTAACCAGAATTATCTGCCTTTCCAATTTATCTTCCCCAACGCACAAATGGGCTTCTACTTCTTCTCCCTTCATTTTTCCCCCTCCAAATCCCCAAATCCAGACTGATTTACCAGGAAGCGGAGGACCCTGGTAATCTAGCAAGTTACTTCTGATTCTTTATCAACTAAGAAAGTATTTGCAGCTTCCCACCCCCCCACTTCAGCAGCCCCGGTGCCTTCACAGAGCCCCTTCCTCCCGAATTCCAGGTCAGCGTGGTGGAGGTTAATCCCACTGACGCCAGGGATAGGGACTCCTAATCTTTAAGGTCCCTTAAGGAAGGGTAGAGTTTTCTCTTTGGAACAGAGGGAGCAACTGATGGTGTCATCTGCTCCAGTTTCTCCCAGACCTCCTCTTGCTTCATCCCCTTTTCCTGGAGGATTTTCTTCATTTTGGCAAGTAACACTCCTGTCGGCTGGCTATCTAGCTCTTCCTCATTCACCCCCTGATTTATTAAAAATCTCCAAATTGTTCCTCGGGGTATGTACTTCCTCAGTTTCCCCTTTGCCGCTCCCTTCTTTCCCTTTCCTTCCCCGCCTGCTCCCATTAGTGTCCCCACGTTCTCCAGTGTGGCCATGCACTCACCAAGGGGCCGACCAATTAAGGTAGAGCCCAGGCTGATGAAAAAGCCCTTGTGCAGCTCTGGGGCGCGGCACGCCAGGACCCCTATGTCCCCCTGCTCCGTGTTCACCGTGTAGATATCAAAGTCAGGGGTTACAGGTTTCTCCCTCTGCTTTAAAACACGGAGCAAAACATTCCCGCACACGTAGGCGGCCGCCTCCTGCACGTCTGCCCAGGGCGCCCCCTCCATGTTGTCCTTGAGGGGCTCGTACTCGCCCAGGTTCCGGATCACCAGCCGGAGGATCTCCCCGCCGGACGTCTCGCTGGCTGGCAGGGCTCTGATGATGGCGCCCACCTTCGGCCAGGGCAGCCCTATGGCCGTCACCACGCGCTTGGCCTCCTCCGCCATGAAGGCTGTGCACTGCTCCAGAGTCCAGACCCTGTTCACCCACACGGGCCAGCCCTCCTTCTGCTTCTTCCAGACCTTCTCCTTCCTGCGCATATCCCTCGCTCTCGGGCTTTTCAGAGCTGCCTCTCTCTTGTCCTCCTTCGCTTTCCTAGGAACCACAGCAGCCGCCCCCTGGGCCGGTGAGTTCTCCTTGTCCTCCAGGCTCCAGCTTTCCCCATCCCACGTCTCCGGGTCCCAATCTGTCTTACTCAAGGCTGCCACTTTCCTGTGGTCCAGGCCCTTCCCCAGGGCCAGCAGTGTGCCCAGGCACTGCACCTTTTTCCGCAGCCGTGTGTTGTCGGCGTTCTCCGCCCTCAGCTTTTCCTTGAGCTCCTGCAGCTGCTCGGCCTGCTCGTTGAGCAGCGCGTTGTCACAGCGCAGCGTCAGGATCTCGCTGTGGGCCACCTGCAAGCTGCTCTGCAGGTCCTTCACGCTCTGCTCCTTCTCCTCCAGAGCCGCCTGCAGGGCGCTCGCCAGGTCGAAGAGCAGCCACTGCAGGGCCGAGCACTTCTTTTCGCCCTTGGGGTGGTACATGGAGACGTAATTTACCCAGAGCCGTTCGGCCGCCTTCAGCGTGAGCTCCTGCCCGATCACCTTGTAGTCCCACGGGTCTCCGCCGTGCTCCAGCATGGCCTGCACGAGCAGCCCTCTCTCCTCCTGGCTCAGCGGGCTCTCGGCCTCCTCCTTCTCCTTCGCCTTGGCCCCCCTGCTCAGCCACGACATCCTGGGCTCGCTTCTCTTCGGGCTCCCCGGCGGGAGGTGTCCGCGACGAGGCGCCGCTCGCAGCCGTCCCGGA